CTTACATGTAAGACTTATTTGGGAACTGCTATATTGACTATGATACATTCCTCCTGATATGAACAACTGCATACCTGTACACCTACATATGAACTTATGTGGACAATGCCATATTGTACATGACCTGAAACACTTTGATATGAACCGTTGTGATGTATGACTCTAATATGACTATGAGAACTGATGAGTTTTGACCTTAAGCTACGCAACTAGTCATGGATCTAGGTTAAAAACGGGTAGAAGATTACAAATAATTATAAATAAAAAAAAGGATAAATTATACTTTTCTTAAAATTTGAAAAAAATATAATAAATTTTACAAATTTGACATTGAATTTCTTTAAAAATTTGGATTCATATAACATTTATTAATTTCTTTATCATAAATCCGTTAGTCGTATAAAAAAAAAAAATTATCATTTATTTATATTAAAATGTATATTTTAGCTTGAGAGGGTAAAATGTGTGAAGCTTGGGCCGAGCTAGGACCAGATATAAGTGAGTCGAATTTTGGGCCAAGGTGAGTGGGCTTCGCCACTGGGCCTTGTTAGCCCGGTCATGAAAGACTGAGGTTAGCTCGGCTTGAGTATTCTGAACCGAGGTATAGGGAGCCGTGTTGTAAAAGCAAGGTGGAACCAAGCTAAGTAAAGCAAGGTAGAACCGAGCTAAGGAAAGCTCGGTGAAATCTGCCGCTTCAGCATGTGTTAGCCCGGTTGTTTTGTCATATTACCAGGGTAAAACCATCTCACTTGGTTAGACCGCGAGGGGGGTGTAGAAAGATGAACATTACCTTTCTCTTTCCTAGGAAGATTCTACCTTGGAGAAAAAGAGTCCTACTAGGATTGTGCCACATGGAGTCTACAAAAGCTCATTGCAGGACCTATGTACAAGTATCACAACCTTGATTCTCGAATACACAGAGCTTTTGTCTATTTGTCTATTTTGCTGATTTAGGCATCGGAGAGGTATCCGGCACACACCCGCCGGCTAGCTCACGTTTGTGTTTTCAGGGAGTAAAGCGATGACGTTCAGAGGAAGCGCAAACTTGATCAACAGGATTATACAAGAAGATTATTTCGTGCTCGTACAATACTATGTTATATCAATTTTGGTTTGTAAATTTTATTAGAAAGATGATTAGTGTAATCATAAAAAAACTATAAAAATTATTGTATTTTCTTCAAATCTCACAAAAAATAACATAATTTAAACTTAAAAAAAAACCTTTGACAAAATAAATAATATTATGAACCATGATTTTTTTATTTTTTAACAAAGATCAACTTGAAGTATTCACGGGTCGATTACTGGTCAATTTGTGTGGGTTTTAAATGAGAGTTTTACTTGTTTTCAAGTCATTTTTGCATAGAAGAGTGAAAAAGATGTGGTTTTCAATGACAACACAAGGATTAAATATATCATCAAATAAATTTTGCATTTTTTTTTCAAGTTGCTAACATATGGTGTTGAAGCCTGAACTGCTAAAAAGTTTCTTATATTTTCCTTGTAGCAAGCCTATGCCACAATGAATAAGAATGTTCCCCTCTAGATCTTGATAGGAATGACAATGGATAACCTACCCTGTGGGTATCTATGGAGACCTAACCCAAATACATGGGTTTTTTTCTTTTTTCTTATCCGTCGGGTAGGGTAAGTGATATTCTTTAAATATCTACAGGGGATGGGTCGGGGATGGGTACCCACTAATTTCCCCATATTTTTTTTCTTTTTTTTTTTCACAACCAAAGCTAAATATATATTCAATCTTTTTTCTTTTTATTTTTAAGGTTCACAACCAAAATTTATTTTTTTATTTTTTTATTTTTAAGATTCACAACCAAAAGCTAAATATATTCAATCTTTTTTCTTTTCTTTTTTTTTTAAATTTTGTTTTTTTTTTAAGGTTCACAACCCTTTTTTTTTTTTTTTTTTTTA